GGTGGGGAAAGCAGGAGTAGAGGGGGGGCCCCCCCCAGCCAAACGTAGCTGAGGGAGAGGGCCAAGTCCAGTGGGTGGGAGCACACCCACGAGCACTTGTGGGAGGCTCAGTCCTCGCCCGCTGCTGCAGCAGAGCAGTCCTAGCTGGCAAAAGGACAAGGTTGGTAGCTTGCCCCACTGAGGGGCGAGTCCGGGGCACAGTGGAGTGGGTGGGCGGACGCCCCCCCCTGCCACCCACCTATTGGGTAGCAGTCTCCCCCCTCGCCACCGCCGCAGGTGATCCGCCTGCACCCCTCCTGAACAAGGAGCTCCCTGATTGTGTGTTTGCTGCCACACCCCGAACTGAGGGCCTGGCCACCGTTTATAAACTGACTGTGTTGGTTTGCTGCCATGCCCTGCACCCAGAGCCTGGCCACCCCTTAGAAACTGATTGCGGTCACACCCTGAACTAAGGGTGGGACCGCTCCCTGTGAACTGGGCTGGCTTTAAAGGGGCGGTGCAAAGGGGCAGAGTGGCCGCCCACTGAGCTGGAGGAGGAGGAACCCCCCCGGGCAGGCAAACCGACTACAGAGGGCAAGGTCCAGTCTTATCAGTGGAGAAGGAGGTGGCAGGGTACATGCTAGGTGTTTGGCGGGGGAAGGCTGGCCAATGGGATCTCAGCAGGATTCGCTCAGGCGCTCTCTCTGCCCCAGTGCAGGGCCAGCTGCTCCCCGCGGCGGGCGGGGAGTTAATGCCATCTGGGAGCGCAGGTGGGGAGGGCTGGCTCGCAGGCCCAGATTAGCACGGTGGCGGGGGGAGGGGGGAGAACTGCAGGTGTGTGGCTGCCTGTCTATATATGGCAGTGTAATCGGACCAGGGGGCTAAGCTGGTTACTGGCTGTGCTTTGTGGAAAAATTACCAGTCCTGCGGGGACTGGATCACCACACAGCCTGGGGCTGCTACCTCACAATGACCCCAGGGGAGGTCACCCCATCTCCGGGAGAAGGTCCTTTACCCAACCCCCATCTGACCACCACCTTCGGTGCTGCCTGTGGGATCCCGGGGGTGCGTGGAGGGGGCTTCCCTTTGATCCCTGAGGCCTGCCCTGCAGTGTTTCTGGCTTCCGTTTCAACACCTTTTGCCGCAGGACAAACCTTTAATACCATCGGCACACAGAGAGGCTGCCAGGCAGAGGCTCTTCAGTCCGCCCCGCCAGCCTGGCCACAGCTTGGGGGGCTGGGAGAGGGGATCCCAGAAGGATGTTACATCTGTTTCATTTCCCTTTAAGTTTCTGTCTGCCTCCCCCCCCGCATGCTCTCACTCCCATCGCAGGCTTCAGTAGTCCCGGGTCGCTGCCATGGTACCCCGGCACACAGAGAGGCTGCCAGGCAGAGGCTCTTCAGTCCGCCCCGCCAGCCTGGCCACAGCTTGGGGGGCTGGGAGAGGGGATCCCAGAAGGATGTTACATCTGTTTCATTTCCCTTTAAGTTTCTGTCTGCCTCCCCCCCCGCATGCTCTCACTCCCATCGCAGGCTTCAGTAGTCCCGGGTCGCTGCCATGGTGCCCCTGGGCCTGCCTCTCCAGCCATGAGCTGTGTGCCCGTGGGCACTGATTGCTTTGTCAGGTCTCCGATGGAGGGGCAGGCCCAGAGCCAAAGTGCAGGCTGTGTATGTGGGTGAACCAGGGCCACGCAGGGGACAGACTGTCCATGCCGCTGGAACCAGGGACCAGGTCGCCATGGGCAGGTTCTCCATGCACTGGGCCCCAGTGTGAATACAGACGGGGGAGGGAAGGACTGGGGGAAGAATCAGACCTTGGTGATCATTGCTAAGAGTCCCGTCCTTTAGCGCAACACCCCACACTGTCTCCATTCTGTCTGTTCAGCAGCCAGGCAGGAGCAGACTGTCCATGCCGCTGGAACCAGGGACCAGGTCGCCATGGGCAGGTTCTCCATGCACTGGGCCCCAGTGTGAATACAGACGGGGGAGGGAAGGACTGGGGGAAGAATCAGACCTTGGTGATCATTGCTAAGAGTCCCGTCCTTTAGCGCAACACCCCACACTGTCTCCATTCTGTCTGTTCAGCAGCCAGGCAGGAGTCTC